TCCCCCCAAAACAAATATTTATTGAGCACTTACTACGTGCAGGCCCTCAGAGTACACAGCTGATTGAGAGACCGGTCCCTCCCCTCAAAGGGCTCACACCTACTAGCAGGAGACAGCCAAGTGAGCAACGAACCGACAGCCTCCCTCCAGGCCCGAGACCACAGCACGAAGCCTGGGTGCCATGGAAGCTCTCAGGTTTCTAGAAAAATCAGTGGGCTTAGAAGTGGAAGAGGCATCTGGGGAAAGAAACCCTATCTGAGAGCCTGGGCACACTGGTTTATTTTCTTTCAAATTGCTACACAGATGGGAAAAGAATAATAGTTAACATTTATTGAGTGCTTACCACATGCCAAGCATTATTCTAAGTGCTTCATGTGTATTTTCCCTCTCACTCCTTAATACCTCCCTGTTTCTTTTTTTCTTCTTCTCCTTCCTCTCCAGTTCATATCATTTTCTTCTGAGGAGGGGCTGTGCTGCGCTCACTGCTCTATCTCCCAGGCCCCTGAATGGCGTCGAGCCCATGGTATTACTCAATAGCAGCCGTTCAGGGAATGAATGAAGCTGCTCACATCATGTATCATCCCTACTGTACAACTGCAGGAACCGAAGCACGGGTGGTAAATGGAAATTGCCAGGTACACTCAGCCGATAAGGAGTGCAGCTGGGATTCCGACTCAGACCCTCCGACATCCGAGCCCCAGCCTCTGCCTGCCTCCTTTCTCTGGCAGACTTCGCCGAGGCAGGGGTTAGGATTTAGAAAGAAGGGAGGGAGAGTGCAAAGGAAGGATTTTTGTCTCAGATTGGTTTCTCCGTCCAGCCCCTTGCCTCGCGGTCCTGCCCCGGTTGCCAGGACTCACGCCCCGGAGGATGCTCAGCATCCGGCTTAGCTCGGGGCAGTTCGGCAGGTGACACTCTGTCAGTGATGCAACTCGTTCCGGCCAGCAACCCTCATTCCCAGGCTACATCCCTCTTCCCAGCTAAGTGAGCGTTCACAATGTATCTCACCTTCCTGAGCCTGCCTCCTAACTCGCACGTTGAGGACAACGATAGCAAGAGCACAGTAACAATTCTCTGGCAGAGCACATGGGTCAAAGACAACAAAGCAATAATCATCTCGTGGGATGGGTGTGAGGATTAAACACATTTGTGAGTCCAACGTGCCCAGCAGAATGCCCAGGACACGGTGAAGATCAGTAAAACGCTCCTTTCCTGACTCTACCTTACCATCTCTTTTTTTTTTTTTTAATTTTTTAAAGTTTATTTATTTTCGAGAGAGAGAGGGAGAGAAGTGTGCGAGCAGGCAGGGGCAGAGAGAAAGGGGGACGCAGAATGCGAAGCAGGCTCCAGGCTCCGAGCTGTCAGCTCAGAGCCCGACGTGGGACTCGAACTTACGAACGAAGAGATCACGACCCGAGCCAAAGTCGGACACTTAACCAACTGAGCCGCCCAGGCGCCCCTGCCTTACCGTCTTTAGTATCATTTTTAAGGGGTGAAACATCGCATGTTCTAAAGAACTACACCCCAAATGTACTTTATAAAGCAGCCTGTTGATAAATCAAACAGGTTTCCCTAGAATTTCAACTATTTGCAGCCCATTTACCTGGCAGTGGCTCCTGTCTGCAACTCGGAACAGAAATGTATCCATTCTCTTTTGCCCTGGTGATTATTCAAAGGCCCAGTGACTAGATCAGATCCTGCACCTCCATTGCTCCGTAATCTAACTCTGGGTTTCTGGCATTTCTGCCAGGAAATGGAGCCGTGGAAGGGAAAAGCCCAGGGAGAACCAAGGCTGGTCCGAAGTCACTGGGAAAAAGGGAAGGACTCGGGTGAAGTGAGGGGTAGCAAATGCTTAGAAGCAGCCGCACAGGGGCCACGTTGCCTAGACAAGTGAGTGTCGGCAATAGCCGAGCATAAGCCGAGCATCAGCAAGAAGTGATGATTCAACCAACTGCAAGGGAACATAAGATGAGTCTGGGTCTCAGGAAGTGTCAGGACAGGTGCGGCAGGGGCAGGTTAGATCAGGTAACCATACACACCAAAAAAATCTATTGGTTTTGGTGAAGAATCTTAGAAGAACTTTTCAAAACTAAAGATGAAATATATAATTATCCCAGACACAGAAAAGGTACAAAATACATATATTGGGGGTTGGCGGATAGAATGAATGAATGAATGAATGAATGAATGAAATTCTTTATTGTACCGTCACAAACCCAACTCAAGAAACTCACTCTCCAAAGTTCTCAAGAGATCTTGATTGCTGTGACCCTACTTTGTCTCTTGGCTGATATTTCTAAAATGGCATAATTTTTTTATATATTTTTAAATTATCATTGTCAACTGCTGCTAAACAGACATATATAATGCTTTTGAATTAGTCCTTAATTATGAGAGGACAGGTGTTTATGTAGGAAAGGGAATAAAAGGAGAGAAGCTTTAACAAAAAACTTGCTAAACATCAAGTATAGGCCAGTCTTGCGTGGAGTGTATGTGAAGGAAGCAGATTATGGAAAGATTATGGTGGTGGGGAGGTAGGATGGAGGGGGAGGGGTCTGGGTTAATAGTAGGATCCATAACCCGGTATTTTCTAAGTGCTGTACATGACTTGAACGATCTTGTATTCACAACTGTCCTGATTGCTACTGAGGAGCTGAGCAGGCAGCCTTATAGAAAACAGACATCTTTAACCTCGATGTCACATTGAACTTCATACATGTAAATTCTGCCTCTTATCAGCTGGAGGACCTTAGTCAAGTCACCTGCCTTCTTTGCGTCTATTTGCTCATGTGTAAAGTGGGAATAATAATCTCGGTGGACTCTGAGGACCGAAAAAGTAACTGTCCGGCACAGAGTAGCTTTTCAAGAAATGAAAGGTATTATAGCTATTATTATCCATTATTGTTTCAATTGACCCTTAAAATAGTTATAAACACAGAATCTGAATTTCAGAAAAGTTAAACTGAATAAAGATCAGACAGCTACAAAGCGGTAAATCTAAAGTTCACTTAAAAGTCTGCCTAACTCCAGTCCATTTTT